TCGCTCTTTGATTCGAATTTGATGATACCCGCTGCGAAGATCTATTTTAGAAAACACTATAGAGCCTGACAGTTGGTCCAACATATCCTCCAGACGAGGAATAGGAAATCGATATTGCACCGTGATCTTGTTGACGGCTCGGCTATCCACACACATTCTCCAGGTCCCATCCTTCTTTGGTACCAATAAAGCAGGATGCCCACAAGGACTAATGCTTTCCCGGATATGTCCCTTCTTCAATAATTCTTCTACCTGTTCTTGAAGGATCTGACTCTCCTTTGGATTCATCTTATAATGGGGTAGGTTTGGTATCATCTTTATATTGGGGGTAGGTTTTGGGTTATCTTTCAATCCAGGGATAAAATCAATCGATTGTTTTGAATGTCCTGCCGCAAAGGTGGAAAGTTGGTAGGATGTTCTTATAATGGGGTAGGTTTGGTATCTTCAATCCAGGGATAAAATCAATCTGATGTTGAATGTCTCGCAAAGGTGGAAGTGTAGATGGTTCTTCAACTACGGTATGAAACTCATCTAGCAACTCCTTAACTGGTGGGGGTATTAGTGCTCCTTCATTAGAGCCTGTCTCTGGTTTGATTAACAATGCCAGTTGCACCAGATAATTCCTGCACATTGGAAGAAATAGCTAATATGGATTTCCCCTCCATTTTAGAAGCTTTAGCAGAAGATCCATAAGGTAAGACAATGATTTTCTTATTTTTCCAAGTGAACAGGTATGAATTCTCTTTTCCCTTGTGCAATGCATCTACTTCAAACTGCTATGGACGTCCTAATAGTACTTCACAAACATCCATATCCACAAAATCACAACTAACGGAATCTGTGTACGATTTTCCCATTGATATAGGAACCTTGCAAATCCGGTTTACTTCAATCGTTAGACCCTCTTTAATCCACACTACCTTGTACGGCGAAGGATGTGGTTCGGTGGGTAAATTTAGCTTTCCAACCAGCTACTTGGCTATCAAATTTTCACAACTACAACTGTCAATAATGAGTCGGCACACCACTTCACCAACCCGACATTTAGCTTAGAAAATTTTTCTTCGTTGAGTGTCACTTTCCTGTTTTGGAGAATCCAAAATTATCTGAACAACATATGTAACTTCTCCATCTTCAGAACCAGCCATGGATCCATCATCTTCGTCTTCTACCTCTTCAACCTCAGTCACCTCATCAACTACATTCACCTGCCGACGCCCATCATTAGCCCCCTTATGTTCTGGACATATATTTGATGTATGCCCCTATTTTCTACACCGGTAGCAATAATCTCCAGTTGGCTTCTAATAAGGATTCGACTTATTGTTTCTATCTGCCATGAGAGCTTTTCCTTGGGAGTCTTTCTTTTCTTCTATTGTAAGCTATTATGAACTCTGGTTATTGGAAGAAGTGGCTGCTCTTGAGTTCTGTCCACCAGAATCTCTACTGAACTGTTGATTTCTAGATGAATAGGGTTGCCTGAAATTCTGGTTACGATTAGGTGGTCGTCGAGGCTGCCAGTTAATTCTATCTTCTGCACGTTTGGCCATCTCAATTGCATCTGTCAAAATGAAAATCGTAGCTACACCCATCATACACATTATATCATGATTCAATCCCCTCTAATAATGAGCCACTTGCTGGGATTCAGTTTCACAATTATCGCATCGTACCTGCAATCTCAATAACTCTTCCGTGTACTCATCAAACTTTCGATTTCCTTGAAAACAGTCATGATACCTGTTGTATAGTATTCGAGAGTGATCACTGGGAAGAAATTTCTGCTCAATCAACTGTTTCATTAAAACCCAGTCTCGCACAGGTTCAATCCTTCGACGATGGCATTCGTTTTGAATAGAATGCCACCATGCTGCTGCACTGCCTTTCAGTTTATAGGCAACAATGGAAACTTTACGTTCATCCTTGACATTCATGATCTCAAAGAATCGTTCAACCTTGCTATCCAGTCGAGAGTGCTTTCTATATCTAACGATCCTAAGAAAGGTTAAAAGTCTACCTTTATCTTGTATCCGTCATGAAAATTGTCACCATTGCCTCTATAATTTCGGCCTCCATCATAATGATTTTGGCATCTTGTATAATCTGGTTGCTGTGGATTTGGGGCTGCCGTTGCAGCTGCAAGTTGTGGGTTACCTTGTTGGATTGCGAGAGTCAATTGCCTAATCTGTTCGGTTAACTCTTCGAACCTCGCCTTGATGGCTGTGAGTCGTGTCTCGTAATTGTCGGCCATGGAGATATTTCACCTTTCGGCTCTGATACCAACTGACGCAGAAGGGTCACATGAATGGGAATAACGATTATACTCCGTCAGGAGTTTTGATTAATGACGATTGATCTGACGAAAGAATTAGAGAATTAAACTCTCAAGGACTTGTGTCTTCGTAATTTTGTTCTTGGCCCTGATTTTTGTTACGTGGAGATATTTCTACCTTTCGGCTCTGATTACCTGTTCTTGTCAAACTTGACAGCAGATACATTAGGAGTCACATGAATGGGGGATAACGATTATACTCCCCCCCGTCCAGAGTTTTGATTAAATGAACGATTTGATTCTGACGAAAGAATTAGAGAATTAAACCCTTGTCACATGAATGGGAATAACGATTATACTCCGTCAGGAGTTTTGATTAATGACGATTGATCTGACGAAAGAATTAGAGAATTAAACTCTCAAGGAAGTTTATTGAATATGAATAATGATCAAGAATAATAAGGTCTGCTCATAATACAAATAACCTATTTATAGGTTTAGGTTAATCACATAAAAAACCCTAAAAATAACACAAAAGTCGTAACTGGACAAAACCCTAGCAAGGTCGGCGACATGGGCGTGCGTGAAATGGAACGGGTGTGGTTGGACTTCCAGAGGCTAGCACGGGCATGCTTGGCATGACACGGGCGTGCCGACACTCGAATCGTAACTGGACTCGTCGGCACGGGCGTGCTTGACATGGCTCGGGCGTGCTTGGACTTCCAGAGGCTAGCACGGGCAGACTGGCTGTGGCACGGGCGTGCTTGTGCTTTTTGGGCTTGGGCGTGTCTCGCGCCCTGGACTTCCAGAGGCTGGCACGGGCGTGCTAGAAATGGCACGGCCGTGCTCCTTTTCTTGGATTTGCAGCGATCCAAGTCTTCCATATATTTAAGTGCCAGTTGCTCCACATCAACAAGGCACAAAAATTATAAAAAGAATTTGTTCACTTTGCACTTCAATTGGCATCAATCATAATGATTCTAGTTTAAGCCTAAGCACAATAATACTTAATGGACCTATTCAATTCAATTATGGCTAAAATACATAATTTTACCCATAATCTTTATTACTTTAATTTTGTAGCACCCTAACTTTTACTTTGACCCGTCAAACACTTCAATTTTTAAAATTGTACCTATTTAAACACTTAAATTTATAAAATCATCTTATTAAATACTTCAAACTTGTAAAATTAAATCAATTGAATACCTATTAAAAAAATTAAAAAATGTGAAAATTATTATCCTAAAAGTTATGTTAACTACACATCCAAATCAATATTTTGCATATAGAAGCTAAAAAGCCTTACTATTATTGTTAGTATGGAAAGTTATGTAATATTACCAAAATTTGCAACTTCAAGTGCACAATAGATTACCATAAAATTCAAGATATTACAAAATTAAAATTGTAAAGTTCAATGGTGAATTTATTATTTATATATTCCACCATTCAATTATCTGCAATAAACTAATCGTCATCATAGCTGTAATCAAAACCCAATTTCTTAAACTCATCAATTCCAAGTGTAATCAAAGATTGTACAAAAAAATAATAATAATAATAATAATTTTCACTTAATGGAGAAGGTAGAACCACAGGTTGTTGATAAATAACTCTTCTAAAGGCAAATGTTCTTACTTAATTGGAAATTTCAGCGAAAGTTGAAATATGTCAATCTAATTATCATGAGAGTCTCAGGACAATGAATCTCGTGGGTATATATGCACTATTTCAACTGATGGCATTGTGAGCCATCCTTTCCATTGTCTATGGGTCAATAATTATCTCACTAGAATAATTCTTCTTATTCGAAATTTCATATATGTAGTAGTGCGAATTTAATTTAATTTTTGATAAAGAAGAAAAAAAAAAAAAAACTTGAAAGAGATGGTCATCATATTACCATTTTGAAAAAGGTCAACTTCATACTTATTATTTATATACTCATCCAATTATTTGAAAAAAATAGGCAAAAACTTATACCTGGCCCAAGTTCACCCATATAACAAATTAACCTATTTTATATACTCCATCCAATTTATTTGAAAAAATTTAGGCCAAAACTTTATAAACCCTGGGCCCCAGTTCAAAAACCATATAACAAATTAACCAAATAAATATATAATATATATATTTATATATATATATATATTTTATATATATATATTATATATATATTAAAAATGGTATTTATGACCATTCACTAGGAATAAAGGATAAAATATGAGCAATTTTTAAAAAATTTCTTCATTGACCAGTTTGTCATGTTGATCCTAAAAAATTATGTTGGGCCTCTATAAAATAAATACTTCACTAATACGCTGATTATGGACTGAATACATAAATTCACCCTTCAACTTGGTTAAAGCAAACTTGTAATACCTTCAATTTTTGCTTTAATCCATCAAATACTTCAATTTATAAAATTACACATATTAAACACATCAACTTGTAAAATTAGATCAATTAAACACGTGTTAAATAATTGAAAAATGTGAAAATTATTAAAAAATTATAGTTTCAAAAAGTTATTTACTAACTATATAATCAAAATCAATATACTGTATTTATAAAAGCCAAAAATCGTGTAATTTATAAAATTACACATATTAAACACATCAACTTGTAAAATTAGATCAATTAAACACGTGTTAAATAATTGAAAAATGTGAAAATTATTATTTCAAAAGTTATACTAACTATATATCAAAATCAATATACTGTATATAAAAGCCAAAAATCGTGAAAACTATTATTGTCAGTGTGGAAAAGTGTAAAATGTTAGCAAATTTTGCAAGTTTAAGTAATCCATATAGTTTAGGGTGCATATCCAATTGCTTTTGACATTAGAAAAATACATAGAATTTAATATATTCCTTAATCCCGAGGGACATTTTCCAATTAACCAAAAAACTGAAAACCGACTGTTAACCATAACCAATCTGCCAGTGTAAGATGCAGTCTCTGTAGGGAGTGGTGCAAATAAGGATATTAAGGTCACTCGCAGCAGTGTACCTTATTCGTCTTCACTGCTTTCAATAACAACAAAATCCTTCTTGATTTTCTGTCTCTTTCTAGGTTTCTTCGTGCTGCCTTCATCATTCAACATATTATCATCAGGCTCATCGGTGTCTACGAACTTCTTAATTTCTTCAAGAATTCTACTCCCATATCTTTCTGTCTTCAGTTTCCCAATTATCTTCTCCAGCTGCAAATAAGAGTGGATGAAGTAGCAGTAGTATTAGGTTGATGAGCTAAATAAAAAAACCAGAATATGGTTAATTGGGTAGGCACTCAAAAAAAAAGCAATTTAGGAACTTGCCTCTTCTGCTGAATTCGGTTTCTGGGCGCTGATTATGCTCATCTGCTGAGCAGACAAGATAGAATGAGGGAGACCCCCATGGTTAGAAGACAGTTCTTTCCGCAGCTTATCAAGTTTAAATTCAAGCCCAGACAATGTGAGACTGCGCTTTGCTGATTTGTAGCCAGCTTTGTTCTGTTTATTAGAAATCTCGAGCTTAACAGTCTTCCTCTCTGCATGCAAAGTGAGAAACATTAAAAGAAGATGAATTAAAGATTTCCTTTTTAACAGTAAATAAGACTGCAAAAATGATAGGATTTCAAAATTCTTATCTCACCGATACAATTGGCTATGGCAAGGAAAATTAATACAGGAAAAACATGTATAGCAAACTTGTCCATTTGCGTTTGCTTAACCCTATAAGACACTGTTAAGCTGCACAAATGGCAACTTTTATAAAATGAGAAGATGGTGGATATAAGGGTAGACGTAAAAGATTGACCCATCATAATCATCAGTTGGATAGTTAGGGGCTACATTGTTAGAATCATATTATAGAAGTTGATTCCCCACCCTGGTGATTAGGGTCTTAAATAAGAAATTTGGTCCCAAATTTGGTGGCAGATTGCAAATTGAACTAAATATAGTAAATGTTTTATCAAAATTAGCAAAATGGATAAAATCAACAGTAAACCAATAGTTTAATGTATCATAATATTGTAGTAGACCTAACAAGTTATAGTGAAAGAGTGGTCGTCAAAGGAAAATATTTAGCAAAAATTTAGCTGTTAAAAAAAATAATGTCTAGCTGGTGTAGATCTACCATTTGGAATATGAAAACATTAAAAATATGAAGTAAAATATCATAATATGATAACATTAACATTATCCTGGGTTTATCATGTCAAGCTATATGGTGGAAATGATAATATTCAATCTAACATCGGAAATTAATGGCCAAGATTTATAACTAACCATAGAAGGCATCCATACCTTGCAATACATGCTTTGCCAGCGGTCCTAATTTCACATAAGCATTTGTAGCATATGCTGTATGCTGAAATTCTTCTTTCTACATCAAAAAGACTACATAAGAAACTGGTAAAGATTTTGCTGCAAATATATGTATTTCAAAAACAAAAGATAAATCATTCCATGAAACAGTTGTAGTTGGCAAATAGAGGTAATTGTCTTTTATCCCGGTGACCAAGATAAAATGATTACACAATTTTTCATTTGATTTCCTGTACATAAAAGCATGATAGTTGATTTTGTTCACCACAACACCACCAGCTCTGAACATGTATTTATACTTGTAATTACTTTGGACTTTCTTTTGGTTATTTGTTTTGGTGAGTCATGTGGAACTCGTGGGTCTAGTCTATTATCACATTTGTGTAGATGAAAAGCAAAATCTTCATAGTGAGCAGAAAGCTACTTCATTTTACTTGAATTCTCGATGAAAAGGTAACCTCAATCACCAGTCAATTCCAAACTGTAATTTTTCCACTGGACATTCACATGCATTCTGCAGTTTCACAATAATTCATACAGCTAGGATAAATTCTTTTCAACTGACAAAAAGTATCATATATTCACAAAATAAAAAATTGTGGGTGGATGTACTGCACCCTAAGTTTTAATAATGGAAATTCCTGCATGTTATTGATCAAAACTAGGTGTGCTCATGAACCGCTGTAAACCAGTCCAGATCACCGAATGGATCTAAAACCATGATTTTGAAATGTTGGTGGTTTGATTTAGTTTAGAAAATATAAAAAACTGAAAGGTCGGTTCAGTTTATAGTTTTGAAGTCAAAACCGCCAAAATTGAACCAAACCAAACATTGTATATGTATTATTTTTTCATGTGCATTTAAATTAACCAGATTACTTTTCTTTTTAATAAGTAATGTACCTTTTCATTTCAATAAGTAATGTATTGTGTTAAATAACTTAATTTGACACTTGAGGGGTAAAAAACACACTTAATTTCTGCACTAAAAATTTTATGCATATCTCGCAAATGTTAATAAGTTGACAGTTTTCTTTTCAAGTTATAAAGGCTTTATTAATGAGAAGCTATTTTCATCATTTTCTTTTTATAACATGAATACTTTTCAGAACATCCTCAAACAGCCAACTGAATTAAACCATATTCACAGGTTTTATTGGTTTGAGCACCCTTCATGGTTTGCCTCAGTTTAAATTATTTATAAATCACCATTATTGGTTAGATTTGTAGTAATTCTCCAAACTGAACCATGAACCATAAACTATAATCGGTTCAGTTTATAGTTTTGAAGTTCAAAACCACCAAAACTGAACCAAACCAAACACTATAATTTGTATTTTTTTTTTTTTCATGTGCATCTAGATTAACCAAATCACTTTTCTTTTTAATAAGTGATGTATTATATTAAATAACTAAATTTGACACTTAAGGGGGGAAAAAAGAACACACTGAATTCCAGCAGTAAAAATTTATGTAAACATCACATGTATTAATAAGTTGACAGTGTTTTTTTTTTTTTTTTAATTTATAAAGGCTTTAATGAGAAGCTATTTTTTTATCATTTTCTTTTTATAACAATTTAATACTTTTCAGACCATCCTCAAACTGCCAAATGAACCAAACTACATTCAATGATTTTGTTGGTTTGAGTACCCTTCATGGTTTGCTTCAGTTTAAATTATTTATAGATCACCATTATTGTTTAGATTTGTACTAATTCTCCAACAGAACCATGAACACCCCTAATCAAAACTACTCGAGGGAGCTCTAAATAATTGGCCAAAGTAAAATAATAATAATAATAATAATAATAATATATCAAAACCCTACAATCACTACTTTGTTAGTCGCTAGTATTGTTTTTCCTCTTCCAAATTAATTTCATTAATTTAAAATGTTTGTAAGTTCACTTTTCAAGATTTGTTCATAAGTATGTTTGCAATTATGGATCCGAAGTTATAAAACATGAGGATACTTACCAAAACACTTTCTAGAATAAGTTGTATCACAAGCTGTTCTATCGCCTCTCTCTTAAGGTCAGCACCTGATATTTTCATACAAAAGCACATTCTTATACATATGCAAATTATCTGTATTTGTAATGGCACGTACTTAAATAAATGTCGAGATCTTCGGTGGCATAAAATGAAAATATAAACATGAAGATAACTGGATGAAAATAAAACAAAAATTATCAAACCAAAAGCTGTAGAACATATAAAAATGCTTGGAATGGCAAAAATTTTGTGAAGACCAAAAAACATATAGTATAGACAAAAAAAAAAAAAAAAAAAAAAAAGGATGAAAATAAAACAAAAATTATTCAAACCAAAGCTTGGTAAAGGAGTTAGTAGAAACATATAAAAATGTTGGAAATGGCAAAAAATTTTGTTTGAAGACCCAAAAAAAACATTTTTATAGTATAGGACAAAAAAAAAAAATAAAAAAAAAAAAAAAAAAAAAGGGAAATAATCTTAAAAATTTACCTGTTCCCTAAAAGTACACTTTAGAACATTTTTCCAAATGCCCATTGGCCTATAAGATACTTAATTGCATCTTAAATAAAGATTTTTTTATTTAACTTAAAATCTAAAAAAAAAAAAAAAAAAAAAAAAAAAGGAATAATCTTAAAATATTTCCTGTCCCTAAAAAGTACACTTAAGACATTTCAAATGCCATTGGCTATAAGATAACTTAATTGCATCTTTAAATAAATATTTTTTTATTTAACTTAAAATCCTAAAACTTGCAGTATTTCCTATATTATGAGGATTTTGTATTCTTAAATTGATGTTGTTTTATACAATGAAATAAATATTATGGTTCAGTAACTTGCGTTTTTAATGCAGTGGCTCCCTAAGGGCATAATGGGATAACCATCATAATTTTCATGACTTGCACCACAAAATGAGCTAAGAATGACATTTTTTGGAAGAAAGTGGAGAAGGTTCATTAAAGAGTTGCACTTATACAAACCAGTATTTTTTGCGTTGCATGTGCGTATATTTCTATATTAGCATATTCTAATAAATTTAAATATTAAATACAATTTTTATATAAAAGATTGGATACCTAGGCCAAGAATTGTTCAAATTGCCATTGCAGAAAGCAGCAATTGCAGGAGCATAATTCTTCGAAAGATCATGAAGTATAAACATCAAGTCTTCCCACTCAAATTCCTTTGGCGTCTTCATGTTAGATAGTATCATTGTGTCACCCTTGAAAACCAAGATTGACATAGCATTAGCTTTGTCAATTCTGTTTCCCTTAACAATTAACCCAGTTTTTTCCTTCCTATAAAAGCACTCAAACGCCTTTTCAGTAGAGGTTCTTGAATGGAAAGTGAAAAAGCCATAATGATCACCTTTCCGTTTACAACCTTAACAATATCACCAAAATTAAAAATTCTCTTTAACGAATCAACATTGTCCAATCCTTTTAAGCCACCAAGAAACATGGTTTTGGGACTGTTCAATCTATAATTCAGAAGGTAGAGAACAATCCATGGGAGTGAATTGAAGGATGAGAGATTTAGGTACGGAATTGAAGGTTGAGAAATTTTATAGATAAAGAGAGTTTAGAGAGACTAGGCGAGAGAGTAAGAGAACTTGTTCTTTGTCAGTCCAGATGACTTTCGACTCAAAAGCTTCAGTTACCACATTCACTTTACCCAAATGGTATGATATGGTGCAATCAGTCTTTGAAGAGTTCTGTCTATAGGTCCAAAGCCATATCAAACTTAAAGAAAAGCTCTCATTCTCTTGCTCGGTCCCTCTACACTCACCTTATTACTAAAATATCTCATCTTTCAATTCTTTAGAAAACTCTCTCATCCCTCAATTGAATTTTCCGTCAATCATTTCCTGCCTCTTAAATTAGAAAGGAAATGGATCAATAAGTTGATTGATCCGAAAGACGTGTTTGTTGGTGGCTGGCTTGAAGGATAGTACAATAGTGACTCATTAAAGAAAAAATGTTTAGACTTTGGCATTATAGTTAAGGTTGCAAAGCCAAAAGGTGATCATATTACAACTTGTCACCGTCCATTCAAGAACTTCTGCAAACTGGTGCTTGAGTGTTTGTTTAAAATGAAAAAGAGCCGTTTAATTGTCGAGTTGAAGAGAAACGACAAAGCCAATGCAATTTCAATTCTGGTTAGCGATGTTGACATAACGATACCTACCAAATTGCATTCCCTATCCTAGAAAGACCTTAGGAAGACATTTGCGCGATGCATGACTCTTTCTAGTAGTGACAGATGGAGTGAATGCTATATGTTATGTCAAGTCAAACCTCCAAATTAAATTTTTCTGGAATTTGGACACAATGATTTCATTGGTACAGAAGTAAAAGAGGTTTAGTAGGACACAAAAAAAAAACGGTGTTTAAAAAGTTTCACTTTACCAGTTCCCAAAAACTTAAAACTCAAATTTGCAATAAAAAATACGTTCTACATATTAAGATGTAATCAATATTACATTTTTTGTAGGATTCCAAACAACCTTCTAGGATAAGCTAAACCTTTTAAAAGAATATGAACAATTACCAAGTTGTGTGGTGTCTGTTTTGTTCTTTACACACATATCATCTATCTATCTATCTATCTATATACATACACACACACTATTCCATATCAAAATAATAGTCTAAATTAGTTCAGGACTGTAAAAGAGTCAAGCTTAATTAAGCTCAAATTAGCTTGTTAAAGATACACCCAAGTTTAAAAAATTGAGCTTGAGCTTGATACTCAACTCGATTGGGATGTAAATGAGCTAAGCTCAGCTCGTTTCAGTTCGTTTATAGGCTTGTCTACATGCTCAACTTGTTTAAAGGCTCATTTACAGCTAGCTTTTAAGCTCAACCTCAACCTCAGCTCTATCGAGCTGGCTCTCAAGCCAGTTTGCAAGGTAATGAGTCAAGATGAAGCATGACTCATTACTTAAATGAGCTCAATAAACAGGTTTGAGCTTGGCTTGTTCAGCTTATCAAACAAAACTTGAACGAGCTTTTTGCAAATTGAGCCTCAAGTAAGTAGCTCATGAGTGATTTCACTCGTTCACAGCCATATTCACTAATTTGGGATGTTTTAAATTAATTGTCTACTTTCTCATTTTAATTAAAAGTTAACAAGTCAAAAGTTTATTTTATCAAACATATTGTCGAAGTAACTCCCCAATCACTACAGGTAAAAATGGGAGATTAACAAAAATACGTCATTCAAAGACTTTACTTAATCTCTTGTCAAAGTTAAAGTAGACTATCATTTTGGGAAAGGAGTAAAACTATATATATATTGAAAAACAAGTTGATGAAATAATGTTCTATTCTTTTAATTTACGGAAAACATTTTTTTCTTTTAAAATAACAAAAACAAATATATTTTAATAATATTATTATTCTTTGAGAATTCAGGGGGAAAAAACATAAACCAAACAAAAATTTCTAAGTTAAAATCTAACCTATGAAGGAAACAAATTCTCAAACAAATAAATTAGTCAAACATGCTAATCAAGACTGAAATGCATTCCATAGACTTAACCTCATAATTTTCTATTAATTATAGAATTGATAAATGTAGTTTCCAACAATCAATCTTTTCGATATTTTGGATTTCTTTATCATAGTTAATAGTAATCAAGCGCAGACAGATCTATTTGGTTTGCCTTGATATTGAAAAGTAAGGGTGTTGAAATGAGTCATCACACGGGAATACGATTCGCCTAACATGGAAATTATGCAAGTTAGGATTGAATCAAAAAAAGATTTGTGTCATGAATTGGTGACCCACATATTACACGATTTTAAACTGGTCATGTCACAGGTTGACTCACGTAACTCATCTAACCCATTTAATTAAAGGTAAAAAGGTAATTTCATATATAATATATATACCAAGTGAGTATAAGTGTCATAAATGTTGGGTTTTTTGACTTGTATATAGCCATCTAATTAAACAAGTTATGTGTATCGTTTTCATATCACTCGTTTAATTTTCATTTCGTGTTTGTGTTTAAATATTTGATACGATTATTAAATGGTTTGTATTCGTATTAATCTCAATCGTGTAGCATTTTAGGTGGCAACCCATTTTCACACCCGTTTAGGAAAGAAGAGCCTAGGCTTATTTTGTTTTCTTTCTAGTAAGTTGGCTTTGGACAAAGTTCAGTAACCAAGTTTAAGCATATACATAAATACACGGATGTGGGGAACAAATGAATTGATCAAAAAGGCTATGGTATAATTATATTTACAAAAGAAAAAATCTTTTTAATAATTAAATTTATTTATATTATAAAGATGTGCAAGCTTATATGGTCAAACTCATTTCCTAATTCTAGCAAATATTACCATATTTTGCATTCTCATTAATAAAGGATGTTTCCCGATATACTTCTAATTTTTCCTATTTAATTTCATTGATTTTCTAATTAATATATTTTTTAATTCTTCTTATTTAATTTCATTATGTCCCTATATATACAATAGTGTACATATTCTCAATATTATATATGCATATAAGCATGCACATTAAAAGAAAATAACTAGACAAGTGTATAGAATTTTTTTTTCTTGACTTATTTTTCACACATAATTTTTCATCATCATCACTATAAATATAAAATTGATTTTATTGTTCTTTCTATGCATATATTACAAATGTATCTCTAAAGTGTTCTATGTTTAGTTAATGTCAATTAACTTTATAATTTTTAGAATTTTATTGAAATTATAGTATTGAAACTTTTTTTAATTTTGAATGTTTATATGAAACATATTTTCACAGTATTTTTTTAAATGTTTTTTATTTAATAGTAATCAATTTTTTGCATAACATTATATTTTTATGTAACTAAAGAATAAAAAAAAAAAACAAAAAAAATTATATTTGACAATATTAATCTAATAGATTCTCAAATACAATAACTCATCATTATTTTTAATTAGATTTCAGCTTACTATATTTAAGAGTTATTACGAGCCAACAAGCAAAATTGTGAAAATACACTGAAATCAATGCAAATCTGAACGAAACAATTTGGAAACTATTTTACAGCTAAAACAGGATACGCATAGTCTGTGTAAGAAGATCATCCCAGCCCAATTAGAACAAAACATCAAGCTGTAGAAAGAACCTGTTTCCTTGTGCTTATTTTTCATTTTGTCCACCAATTGCAACATTGTCAATCGCTGATCATTCTCCTGCACATCTTGAACCAATGAGACCATAATTTTTGCATAACCTGTAAAGCAGCAATATTTCATTAAGATCACAACCCTTATTTATAGCTATTAGATATTCAAAACAGAGAAGGGATTCTGAAAAAATAATAACAACGAAAATGACAAACATGGAAGCATCTTACAATTCTCAATATCATGTTTATTTTGATTCTTAGGTAGCTAAATTGATGAATCAAAATAAAAGTAGATCTCATGTTTATACGAACGCATGGGAAGCCCTAAACAATAAGAGGAAATGAAACTAAACAACTAAGTAAATATTTCTAAAGGTTTAATAAGAGCACGTTTGGTTTGGCTTTTAAGTCGATCAAACCTACTTTTAAGTAAAAACTCATGAGCAGAATAGTGTTTGGTTTGGTTTATAAGTTAAGAAATCTACTTAAAATAAGTCAAAAGCCATAAGTAAGTTATCCCTTACTTTTAATTTTCTACTTATTTTATAACTATTCTTTGACCAAATAAAAGATTATATTATCCTAACAACTTTTAAATAGGCCAACAATAGCATCATTTTAACAAACCCTTGGACTTCATATTTAATTAATATACCATTTTTGGTAATTGTGATAAATTAAGTACTTGTTAAGTAATTATCAAACAAAAACTTAAACTATTTAAAAATTACTTTTAAGTAGTTTTATCAAAACATGTGACTACTTATTTTTAAATTGACTTATAAGTCAAAAAAATACATTTTAAGTCAAAAGTTAAAAGCAAGTAGCCAAATGTAGCCAAACTAAACACCAACTAAATTACTTCACCTAAATTGGATTATCTTCTAAGTTTCTAACACCATTTTTAAACAAAAGTGACCAACATGTTATGCTACATCAACTACTCTTTAAATAAATACTAAGCCCAAAAGATGTCCATCTTATCTATAATATATATAAAAGTGGAAATCTATAATCTATATCTAATAATATATTTGATATTCTTCCTAATAGTTTCATAACACTATTTTTAAACAAAGTGACCAACCATGTTATGTCTAACATTCAAATTTACTCTTTAATAAATACTTAAAGCCCAAAAAGATGTCCATCTATCTATAAATTATATAAAGTGAAATCTATAATCTATTATCTAAATAATATTTATATTATTTATATATATATATATATATATATAATATATATATAAAAAGCTAGAAAATGGATAGGGAACAGTGGGATTGCCAAAAAAAAATATCATTAGGTTTTTATTTGATAAGGTTGAAAAAAATAAATGTAATTTAATTTTAATGTCATATAATTTTACATATAAATCTTAAAATTATATTAGATAAAAAAAAAATTATATTATATATTATAATAAGGTATATATTAAATTGGAATAATATAATAGCTTAAAGATTTTTAAATTTTATTTGGTTGAAAAAATAAAAATTAATTTAATTTGAATTGATATATTAATTTTCCATATTAAAATCTAAATTTACTATTGGATTAATTTTAAGGGAAAAATTATATTATATACTAGATAAGTGATACCACAAATATGGTATAAATTATTAATTAAACTTTAAAAGAGATTCGCCAAAATTTATTTGGTGAAAAAATTAAATGTAATTTGTTGTGATTGTTTAATATTATATAAGTACATATTAAATAATGTAAGGAATGTTTAATTATACTTTCAATAATCTTAATTAGTTGTGTTTATAATTATTTCCTACTAACAAGAAAACTTAATTATTCTTACAAAGAATAAATTAAATTTATTATTTATTAAACAAATATTATAAAAATTTATATTATATAAATAGGAAATATAAAGTACTTACTAGAAATATTATATATATTATGTAACTTATAAATATTTGCTAATATAACACAGTTTATACTAGCCCAAAACCATAGTATATATTGAAGAAGAATTTTCTTTTTTTTTCTCTTATTATTTATTAAAAAATATATCATAAGATTTATTATTTGATATAAAATAGAAAATAAAACTTACTAGAAATATATATATGTATGTAATATATAATTGTAATATAACACGTTATACTAGCAAACCATATATATATTGAAAGAATTTTTCTTTTTTTTTCTCAAAAGAAGCAATCATAAAATTAATAATACGTTCATAGACTTTAGCAAAAGTAAAAAAAAAAATAACATAATTATAAACGATGCTCTAAAAAAACGATTAATATATTAATTATTATAATAACTAACACTAATTTCTTATATTTTAACAATATAAGCAGTTTATGATATTATATTATATACACAAGAATTAAGTTAATTAAACTTAAATTATTATAAGAAAATCTAAATTAGCTAATAAGAAATTTTATTTTCATGAAAATTTGATTATCAAATTATAATAGTATTTTATATTATAAATATGTTCTTTCCTTAACAAGTTCTTTAATTATTTGAATTTTTATTTTATTATTTCATAAAATATTCTTTTTTTCTACTCTGTAAGTGCTCTTCAATTTCTAGTATTATAAATTGGTCATAATATTATAATTCATAACAAAAAATTAGTAGAAAATTTTTAAATACATTAATATAAAATTATTTATATAAATTAAATTACATTTACTTGCAACAAGTAAAACTTAACGAATACAAACATCGTGCAATGCACATTCAAGAAAACTAGTGATAATAAATGGGCCATTGTTATCTAACCTATTCATGGAAAATCAAAATAGTGAAATTGAGGAAACTATAAAAGGAATTAATCTACCAATACTAGCACCAAATGCCCAAAATGTCCATAAAATAAATGTTGCAAAATGTTAAAATAGATGCTTAGATATACAATGTTGGACAAGATTAAGAATGACCACAATTGACAAAAGGTACATGTAACAGAAGTTGGAGATAAAATGAGAAAAGGACATCAATGGTGGTTTGGCCACGTGGTTCATAGATGTAACACCCCAACCCAGCAAAGCGGTCTGAAGAGAGCGGATAGAGCAAAGGTAGGCTTCTAGGATGGTAAAGCTAGCTAGAGTAGTGGAATGCGGGTACGGGAATGAACCGAATCATACATTGAAACGGGGGAAACTACTCATCAAATGTGCCTTTCAGTCGAATAGTCTGGAGAGTTCGAAGAACTCCAAAGTTAAGCCTGCTTGCTTAAGGGAAATCTTAAGATAGATGACCTCCTGACAAGTTCCTCATTTTACTTGCGAGACAAAACCGTGCAGATCTTGCCTTGCCAATCTAGAATGGGGTGGAATTGGTTTGATCTAAAGCAGAAAATTCATCTGGTGGTTGGAGTCAGGATGTGACAATAGACTCCCATGTGCCCTAATTCATAAGTGTGATACTTTGGTAGTACAGGGTTCTAAATGGGGAAGAGGCAGACCTAAAACCACATGGAAGGAAGCAATAGCGAAAGATCTGTGGTGTCTTGGAATAATGAAAGATCTAACCATGAATAGAACAGAATGGAAATCAAAGATTTATATAATAAATCCCAATTAATCTAGGATTAAGGCTCCTTTGCTATCATTTACCTATGCTTGCCTATATATTCTTATTTTTCTATTTATATATATATATATATGTTTCATACGCTTTTCCTTATCTTGCTATTATGGACTCGAGTGAATACAGTGAGAAAAGATTCATATATCCAACTCCAACTAATTTGAGATTAAGGCTTAGTTGTTGTTATTGTATTATACCCATGTTTGTACTTTTATTGAAAAATAATAGGAATGGCCTCCCAAAATGAATTCTATCATTTGAAAACAAATACATGAGAACGATTCAACAATAAAAACTAATCATATTTGTTTGAAAGCTCTAAAGTTTTGAGTTGGAAAGGCAGAAGATTTGCAAAAGTAGGATTATATCACATTATCCACTTTCCTTATCTCTTGGTAATGGGATCAATAAAGCAAGGCTAAACTACCAACACACAGAGAAGGCCAAGAAAGAGAACTAGCCTCATGGAATGGGCAATTCTCATTCATACATAAAATAACGTGAATGAAGTCATAAATGCATTAAAGTAAAACAATGGATGAAAAGAATTTGTTCAAAAATTTATATATAAAAAAAAAGCTTTTCAAAAGGTAAAGCAAGCTAGTGAACGAGTCTAAGACATATGCATTAAGTAAACTTCATGCATTAAGAAAGCATAACAAGAGAACGACTTGCTAATACATGAGAGGCATATGAGAAAATCAGAAAGAAGAACGTAGGAAAAACAAACAAAAACAAGTTGAATTGACCCATTCACCATACAAGATTACAGAAACCAAAATAGCAGCCCAAATAGAAACCTGAATGAAAACCAATTAAAAATGCTCCACATCGTCAAAGATTACAGTTGCTCTTCCTAAACAAACATCATAGCATGCACAAAGGTGCCGTCCACTAAACATTTAAATTCTTAATCCCCATTTTTATATCCTCACCAAAGCCAACAGTAAGCAAAACTCCTGAATAATTCTATTAGTAAAAAAAGTAATTAATTAATATTCCTCGCTGGTAATCACACTATGAAGAAGGTAGCCAATCGTTTCACCCTTCATTAAAACATGCAGCATCAATCGACAAAAGATTTTCCCTTCTAATTCCCTTAGAAGTTAAATACGTGAGGCTTTATATTTTATACCCACCTAAACATCTAAAAGGCAATAGATTGGTCAAATGGTACAAGGCAGCATTCCACGGCAAAAATAAATATGTGTATGAAGTGGTAGATTGGTGATATTCCTATTCTGAAAGAGCAATAGAAAATAATTTACGATTAAAATAAGGTAAATAAACAAAGGTCTGGTAACTGATGGGCTTCCCTGTTGTGAATGATGATCATGGTACTGTAACAGCAGAAATAAGGACAAGGGGGGAAAAGAAAGACAAAAGGGAGAAGCAAAGCATAGAAATCAATACATGTAGATGTGCCTTCACAATCAAATGAAAACACTCAATTGCATTATCAAAAGATTCAAAAACTTAATTACGTTGTGTGGTTATTTTAGAGACCTAACTATTCTTTGCACTGTTAGGATTATTAATCCCAAATAGAAAAATTTGCAAACAACACTAAATAGGAAACAACGAAATCCCTTAGTGACAATATAGAAGTTACCGACAGACATTTATTATAGATCAGAAGTTATCATGGGTTTCCAAATAGGACAGCATTGACCAACCATGGTGTTCCATCATTGTTGCACTTTTATGTTCTACAACAGAGTAAGGAAGTTCAAAATATAATCTTGAGATTGAGAGTTTTCCCCAAATAATAAATTATGCTAAAATGACGTCACCTTAACATCTCTTAGCCTCAAAAAGATCAAAAAGTTTCCTATCAACTCCTAGTGCTCCAAGCTCTCACTTTTCAAGAAGCTAGTAATCCACTTCCATTTTCATTGCCACACTAAACTGTCTCACATTGAACTAAAAAGCCTAAAAAAATTAATATAATCGCATCCTAAACATTAAAATAAACTTCTCTGGTGGATCTTCTTGTTTACATTCTGTTTATGTAACCAACATACTGGCCATAAAAAGGCCAGATTTTGATTATGGGAAAAAAAAAAAAAAGGAAAGAAAGAAAGATAATGCATTTTCATAAAGTTACATAGATGCATTTAAACAAGAGACAACTACGATCAATTCAGGCAAAAAATTAAATCAGTTGACAAAATGAAATACAAATAGAAAAGAACTGAATGGTGATGAACTAGATTTTAGGCAACATAAGAAGAATCAAGAACTCCAAATGAAAAAATATGGAAGGTGTTAAGAATCCCACATGGACTAAATATCAAATTCACAAAGGGCATATAAGGGTAGCAAGCTAGCTAGCTAATTTGTTAGTACTAACCTTTTAGCATTGGTTAACCCAAGCCCAAGTAAGCCCACATCGCACATTTTCACCTTATAAGTTCTAACCCCTTACCTCTACCCTTTCAACTTCTAATATGGTATCAGAGCAGGTCCGGCCCGGTTTAGTCATTTCTCAGTTCATCGGTATTGCCACTATGTTTCAATTTGGGCTCTCATCTAGATGTCCCGTCCCAATGAGGCTCATTCCATTTCAAGGGCAAAAAGCCCAATTCATTTCAATTTCAAGGGAAGGATTTTCAAGTATCAAGTGTCAACCGGATGTTCAGTCCCGGTTGCACTTGAGGGGGAGTGTTAAGAATACCATATGCACTAAATATCAAATTCACAAGGGGCATACAAGGGTGGCGAGCTAGCCAACTAATTGGTTAGTACTAACCTTTTAGCATTGGTTGGTCTAAGCCCAAGTAAGCCACAACGCACATTTTCACCTCATGGGTTCTAATCTCTTACCCAATTCAATTCTACCCCTTCAACTTCCAATAGAGACAAATATCAAATAAAATTGTGTTTGATCAAAAAAAAAAAAGGTGAAGAAGATTACCAGACACATCAACTTCTGTAATATCACTTGAGAATGCACAATTATCACACATCCCTGCAAAGCATAAGTTCACACATGTAAGAATTAATGCCGCAGGACAGTCAAAAGCAAAACATTTGTAGGTAACAAACATCAAATAATACCATTGCAGTCTTGTAATGGCTCAGAAAAATGTCGGAAAAAGGCACTTCGGCGACATTGTCTTCTAGACTGCACACAGAAAATTAATAGGTCTGATGCAGAACATTTTGCATAGTACAAAGCAGATTTTAGAATTTACCTATTCTCAAATACAAAATTATATTTTCCACTAGATGGCTACTGTATACAACAGTTAGTAGAACATTGACTAGGGTTATATAAAAAAAATGTTGCTTTTATATTTTGACAGTCGAACAAAGGGCTTCAGGTTTGAAGGAATATTAGGAAGAGAAAATAACAATAATGCTTAAATGGTAAACAATATGCGAGCATATTACTGAGTCCATATTTTGGGATTTTATGTCATGGATGAACTTAAATTTTTATCTTTTTCATTTTTTTTTTTTTTGTGTGATTTCATCTTTTTTTATTCTTTCTTTTTGTCCTCCTTTTTCTGTTGCTGTTTGTGAAGTGGTGAAACCCATTTTAGCTATCAATTGAAGTAGAAGGAAAAATAGACTGCTGAAGAAGAAAAGAAAGAAGTGAAAGATTGCTTTTAAAACACAAAAATTGGAATGGGTACAGTCATATCACTTCTACATGGTTTGGTCCGTAGTCTGAATCATCATTTTCTCATACTAAGGCCACAATTGGAGTCCTATTCATGTTAGCATGTTTTGTTCGTTTATCATCTTAACTGACTTTGTGAGGCAGAATCAAAGGCTTATACTAAGAAAATGAGCATTTACAAGTTAGCATTGATATGTAAAATAGTTCTCATTTTGTAAGTAAAGGGAATCATCTTCCACATTTTGCTTAGGCTTACTAGTCAAAAACAACCCAAGATTTTCACACTTTTCAAGTTTTACCTATAATTTTTTTGTACCAATTGTTCCCAGTTTCAAAATTTTGTATCCATTATACCATGGGCAAAAATTTTACTACTAAATAAAAGATTAAAGAGTCAAATGGCCCAAGAACTTATTATACCATATTTTTAATTTACTCCAAAAATCTATGTACATGTATCAGTCAGATGGCACCTTCCAAAGTGACAAAAAGGATCCACCTACTAAAACCATAGCATCTATTGCTATCAAATAAATGCTTCTATGTACATCTCAACTTAAATAGCATTCTCCTATTCACAATCTATCTCTTGGTCATTCCTGCTATCAACTTTCAAATTATTGTCCCACATTTGGGATATTTCCTTAACTTCACTTGCTTAAGATATTCCCTAAGTTTTCTATGGCATTCAAAACATATAATTATGCCTGCCAAAACTAGTTAATCTACAGTGACGTGATTTTGTAATATAGACTATACCTGGCAATATCGTACTATGCCATAAAGATTTTGCAATCCAGAATTCTCATAGAAGACCATCGAACTCTGACAAGAAAAGCATTAGTTGCAAGATGGTATGCAAAAATATTATAGTAAACCACAATGCCAAAAGATAGATAAGTAAATAAAATTATTAAAAATTTAAGAAAGAAAGAAAGAAATTACCTGCCTGGGAACATCAGCAGGCCTAAAAAAGAGTACACATTCAGAAGCTGCTCCATCTCGTCCAGCCCGGCCACTTTCCTGCAGCAAGAAGAATAGTCCATAGAAAAATGCCTGGTTAACTACTAAAAGGAAAAGGGATAAAAAAGAAAAAACCTGGTAATATGTTTCCATTGATTTGCTCAGGCTGTGATGGATGACAAACCTAACTACAGGCAGTTATTTTGAGTGTCAGACCACAGACAATTGGCAGTTAACCATGATTATAAGCTCTCTTTTCTACACAATGATTTTGGTTAATTGCATGTCCACCAAGAATGGGACACTTCTGGGTTGGGGGGCTTTGTGGTTAGATATGCTTAAGGAGTATATTGAAGTAAATAATAGTGATATGCATTGTAACACAAATCCATAAATTTTAGTACTCACCATCTGGTTTGTTGATTCCCATGCCAAATGCCACCTGGCACACAAGCATGGCATTAGAAAAGAAGCAGATATTAATACTGGAAAGAAATTCTAGATTCACTGACATACCGTACCAACAATGACCTGTAACTTATTTTTGCTCCACCTGCAGCATGAAACTAAATGAGAATCCGAAAAGTACAAGGAAATGATTATCACTCACTTTTCCTTGCATCAAAATGGACTACAGTTTCAATGTTCTTTAGAGATTGCTACAATCCTGATTCCAATTATCACAGAACCAGAACTGGAACCTTCTGAACCGGTTATGATTCGGATACGGCGACATTCCTACCAGTTCAATTCCAGTTCAGAACTAGAACCTCTGTTAGGTCTAAATTTGGGTCTATACCAATTCTTCAGTCTACCTTCATTGTTAGAAAACCAGAAAAAATTCAGCAATTTATGCTTTTCCTTTTGAGTTGTGAGACGCAAAACTAACTGTAGGAAGTTTGATGCTTTCTTGATTGGATTAAGTCCTAGATTCTATTAGTGTGATTTGTCTGCTTAATTCTCCTTTGTTCTCACAAGAAAATCAAATCTGCCAAGTAAACTTTAAGCCATAATTCTTAATTTCTGTGAACTTAGTCATAATCTCCTAAAAGTTCTAGTTTTCCAAGATGCCATGTGTCGACACTGAAGATCAAGGCACAAGAATTTTGAAATTTGAAACAATAAAAGCAGTTTACTTCAATGTGCACTATATCAAGTGAATGAGAGAAACTATCACATCACACAATATTATATAAAGCTGATAATATTAGAAAATTGCTTTACCTCATATGAACTTTCTCACGAGCATTAACATCCATATCTGCATGGTAATAATCAGCCAAAATTCCTCTATCACGCAACTCTGCTGCAACCTACAACTCTCAACAATACAAGGATAAATATTTTTCCAACTCTAGAAATGCCACTGCCTTATATATGGCAAACCTACACTCTCAACAATACAATGATAATATTTTTCCAACTCTAGGAAATTGCCCTGCTCTAATATATATATATATTATTATTATTATATATATATAGAGAGAGAGAGACGAGAAGAGGAGAGAGAGGAGAGAGAGAAGAGTCTAGAGAGAGAGAGAGAGAGAGAGAGAGAGTCTCAGCTGCATGACCTGCGTCTACTCTACAGCTCAATAAATAAGATAAATCATTTTCTTCCTAAAATCCCCCCATTTTATTTTCATTAATTAAAATCGCTTCTCCCACCTCAGCATGCTTTTCTCTCTCATTTAAACATTCTCACATTGTTCCTCTTCTATGTTGTAATGGATGAACAAACTAATTACATTTGCATTGGAGAACTTTTCATCCATCCATTCTCGTGGCATCAAGGTGGAATCAAAGATGAAATAAAGTAGAAAAAAGTGCCCAACCTGAAAGGGTTGGGCACTCGCGTGTTTCAACCCCGATATACTATTCATAGTTGTGGACTATGTACTTACAACCTCTATCATAAGCAAGTGAATGGCGCCAATGCACGTTGAAAAGGAATAGTTAAGTTAATCAAACTATTTCTCGCCTAACACCCCCAAATAATGACTACTTTTGAAATTAGGGGCTAATTGCTTCACACCTAACTGCAATAGCCCTTTGACATATTTTGGAACTTCTTAATCCAATAGATTTGTAGATATTTATTGAGTTTCCTTGGTAAAATACCAGCCAGTTCTTTCTTTATGATATCATAAAGCTCAAAGTTGAGAGAACAAAAAGGAAGACCATCAACATAGGGGAACAAAAATTTGGAGATATTATGTTGCCAATGAAAAGCCAATTTAAAAAATTACATTAATCCTTTAACCATAACAATCATCCTTAAAAAATGTATGCAATAAAGCAATAATTCAAACCATTTTTGATAACAGTTTGTCCTTCTCATTGCTACATGTAATTTTTAAATTTTACATAATTTGGCAATTGTTCCATTTAAGCTATCTGCATATCACTTTACTGTTACATAGAATTCTTAAGAAATGAGTAGCCTATAGTGGATATCCATCTACACTGTTTGTGCAATAGCTAATAGATTAAAAAAAGAAAAAAATTACATTTTCATGAGCCATTTGAATATTTCTTATAAAATTATCATAAAACTGATATTTTTGAGTTTAAAGATGTGAATCTTTAGCGTTCTACAACCAGAATGAAGGTAAATTAGTATGCTTGATTACTAATTTCCAGTAACAACAATACAGCAACAAAAAATGACACAAAGGAATCACTGATTAGAAAAAAACAGACCTGTTCACATTCCTTTCTTGAAAAGCAATAGACTATCCCAGATTCATTATTTGGATAAGATTCTCGAATGAATTCAGCAATTTCATTAATAACAACCTTAGCAACTGATGACTTTTCTCTTACCTGCAAAGTAAAGGAACTTAATTCTGAGTGCAAAATTATAATCAGAAACTACTTGAAGCAAAAATTTTTTATTAACTATACCATATAAAAGAGATTTGGCCTGTTGACTGTGCTAACAAATTTAACACATTTTGGAATATGCAGCATCTCCATTAAATCATATTGGACTTTCTGAGTGGCAGTTGCCTACAGAGTTAACAGAAGTCATTCTGATTATCTTAATATTGTGAAATGTCAATTCTACATATTTTATTCATATTCCTCAAGGGAAAAAGAAAAATCAAAACATACAGTCAAAGCCAACATTGGAACATTGGGAAACTGAATCTTGAGGATACCAAGGTTCTTGTAATCAGGACGAAAGTCATGTCCCCACTGACTACAACAATGAGCCTCCTGCAAATCATCTCAGATAATCAAATACAGTATGGTAGCAATACTCAAAACTGAATGCCAAAAATCTGTGACAAGAACACTGATTATCTAAAGTATTTAATGTCCATCAAAGTAGTAGACATAGTCTGAAAATTAGGTGGATTTGCAGAATATTTTTTAGAATTTTTTGTTTTAATATTAAATGATGTATCCCAGAATAACCAAAATTTTACCCCCAAAAGTACACGGGATGAATACAGGGAACTAGCATATCAGGGGACAGGGACAGGGGCAAAAGAATTGAGAACTTCAGGAGAAAAATAAGAAAAAGACAAGGATAACACGCAAGTTGTTCAGATTTAATGTAGGCTTCATTGGCAAACAACAATATAGAGCAACTCCTAGCTTTTTATATTATGCAACTATTGAATAAGAAAGTTGCTGGTTTGGTAGTTTATGAATCAAGGGAATTTTGTAATTTCTAACTTGCTAGAAACGCTGTTACTATTTTTTCAGGAGTCTTTACATTTATTTTAAGTCTTCATTTTGAGTCCTTGCTGGCTTGGAATAGTATTGATCCTTTTAGTTCATGTTGGGAGTCTGAAACCTTAAAGGACATGGACTAGTTCTAAAGCATTTTCTTAAGATCAAAATTACTTTAAATCTAAAAACACCTAGGACCTGCATGGGAGAAAACTGTGTAGGACGTTTATGCTTTGTAGTTTCATAACAGCAAAACCTCTTTCATCCCAGGCCATAGATGATACTTGGCGAATTAGTCAACTAGATGAGGTGAGTCACATGAAAAGAGTCAGGCTAGTTAATGTTAGGATTGTAAGTTATACAATCTTAAGTTGTTTTTGTTAAGAGATCAAAGGAAAGGAAGAGAAAATAAGAGAAAGAGGGAAGACAGGGAGAATAGCATAAAGCAATTGAAGAATTATTATTGAATATGAAATTACAGTGCTGACCTTCTTTTACAGGTATTACTGTTTATAACATTAAGCTAATTAGTTACAAATAGTTGCATCAGGATTCACTCAATCTTTCTATTACTAACTCAGTTAATGATCAACTTTTACAATTGCGTACATAAGAAGGAGCTAGAATCACACCTTATATTGGTGTGATTAAACAATGAAGGAGAGTCCTTTCTCTCTACACAATTTTCTCTCCCTCTTTCCCTCAGTTTCATTCAGTCTCTCTGTTTACCTTACTGAGAAGCCAAACACAGTTGCAGATTTTATCTGTAAATAAAACAGCACAAAATAAAAGGCCTCAATCCTACATTTTCCTCCCAACCACCTCTATAAAGCCAAAACCTTGACCAAAGTCCCAAGTGAAAGACAATTAATGACATACAAAACCAAAATAAAAAATTCAAAAAATTATGCAAAAGAAACTCCAATGCAAACAAACAAAGGAGTTAAAAAGGTTACCTGTGTTATATTAAGTTTTAAATATGTCAAGATGAAAGTTAAACAAAAAAAAAAAAAGGTTAAAAACAGTAGACTCACATCAATTGCAATTAGAGAAAGATGGCCTCCATGGTGGCACTTTTCAAGTTTTGACATGAATCTTTTGCTCTTTGATATTTTTTCAGGTGTGACATATAATATTTTAACTCCTTCACCCTTTTCAAGAGCCTTGTATATAAACTTCTCTTCTTCCTTGCTAGTGGTTGATGTAAGCATGGATGCTGGAATGTCCAAGGCTTTTAAACCCATAACCTAAATAATTGATTGTTGTTAGAGAGATTATTTAGGATGCAAATGAGACAAGGTTAAAGCACATCATTTAAAATGTTAATAAAAGAGGAGCACCTGATCTTGAATTAAAGAAATCAATGGACTAACAACAAGAGCAATCCCATCACGAAGAATAGCTGGTAGCTGGTAACAGAGGCTCTTGCCCCCACCTGCAGCCATAATGACAAGAACATCTCTTCCACTCATGACAGCATTGATGATCTGTTAATAGTTAACTGCTTATTAATAAATTCATAAAGATGGAAAAGCAATTGACATCACATGAGAGAAGAATTTCCAAATTAGCTCCATTTAATTTAAGGAAAATATTTCTCTAAATAGTTTAGTTTTTGGGTTTCATGAGAAAATTGACCACTAGAAAACATCTTTCTCATTGAAATGAAAAACCAAGTCTTGAGAATGTTTCAAGGAAAATGCATTTCCATTTTGAAAAGGTGATGTCCTTTTTTTTTAATTCTCTGAACTCGTAAAAAAGCAAGGAATTGACAACACAACCATATAAACACATATTCATTGGTCTAATAACCAGTGTCTACCATCAAAAATCTCCATTCTCCGCCACCAATCATCACCAATAACCATAACTCAAACTTTAGTTAACTTTCTTTCACATTTAAACATAACAAATAATTGAAGATAATTGTAGAGTTCTTGCATGTGTAGAAATTCTCTCAATCTGATTGACTCCAAACCCTCAAATATTATCACAGTTTACTTTTCAGCATTACATCTAAACACTAGACAGCATTTGTAGTCCATTCTCTCAATAATTTTTTCCATAAACCTTTCCACCAACAAATTAATTTCAGAAACAAACAAAGACTAGTTAATGAAAACATTTTGAAATTAAAATATAATATAAATTTAAAGGAAAGCTCTTGGCACCTTTCTGAGTCAAAATAGATTAAAATAGAGCCCTATTATTGAACCATTTCTAGTTCAAAAGGCCACTAATTTGTTGTTTTTTTTTTTTTTTTTTTTTTTTTTTTTTCCACTTTCTGTCGAAGGGCCACTAATTTCTTGTTCTTTTTTTTCTTTTTTTTTTTTTTTTTTTTTTTTTTTTTTTTTTTTTTTTTTTTTTTGTAAGTTTTACATCCAAGTATATTTTAAATATTTTTATCTGTAGCTAAAATATTTGTTCTCAGGTGGGTTTTAGCGTTGCGTATATTTTTAGGCTTTATATCTGGTCAATGTCCTTAGCTTCAATCCAGAATCCAAACTGATATAGTTTCTACCTAGAATCCAAATTGATAAATGGATTTACAAGCCCATAAATGAGGGTACTGTTTCCCCCAATTACCCATAGGCTTTGTGGTTGGGCAACTAGAAGATCTCGGCCAACAGTCATGCCTATTTTTTGAGAAAGTATCTGCCTGACGGTTGATTCTACTGGTTTCTTGCTAAAATTCTAGGATGGTATACATCTTAAGCATCTCACCCAACTTAGCTCCAGTCATATCCATCCTCTCATTTAATTGCACAGCTCCAGTATCACCTTCAGGATCTTGATGAAAAGAATTGAACTTAGAACTAATTTACGTTTTATCACCATCTTAGACAAAGATTAAAGCAAAAGAATTCCTAGAATCTTTAGGTTTTGAAATAAAACAAACATAGAATAAATTAGGTGGGATTTTCATCTTAAAAAATTAGTCATGTAAGCTTATTGTTCAATTTGAAGTGGAAAGAACTTAGGTGATCAATATCAGCTATTTTTTGCAGGCTACATTTATTTCAGTAAAAAGTGAAAGAATAGAAGTAAACAAGATTCTACATTTGTTCATATAAGTCCTTCGGCATCACAACCAAAATTCCCATGCTATGCATGGTTGAATTGAATCTCACAATTGCAGGACCCATAAGGTTCTAACCCCATGAATCACTTTACCTCTTAATCCAACTAAGATTTGAACTCCCAAATAAGAATCAAATCCCCCTTATATAATTAGCCTTAGTCCTATAACTACTTGCACTTTCATATAAAGCTAAAACCAAACCCGTGGCAACAAAATTTACAATAGTATCACTCATCTGCAATTTCATAAATGCTGAAGCAAAAGCATATTATACTAAATATAACCACCCCTATAAATGAAGACCACAATTCTAAATTTCTTTCACTATTTAAACCTTGTAGCCACATTTTTTGTAAACCTTGTAGCCACATTTTTTGTAAACCTTGTAGCCACATTTTTGGTAAACGTTAACCCAAACAAACAAATAATAATGAAACAGCCAATAGTTAATATAGGAACTTACTTCTCTCTGATTTGCACGATATGCGGAAATGCCAAAAACATGAAACTTAAGATGATCAGCTTTAGAGTCCCAATCAAATGGCCCTGACCAGTTTTCAGGTGAACTGTGAGGACCATCTTCGTCTTTATCAGGGTTCTCATTTGCAGTACATGCCTCTAATACCGCCTTCAGTTCTGATTGTCTATCATACAATTCCTCTTGCCGCTCAAGCAATACCTTTATCTGGTCTAAATAACAGGACAATTCAAGAAAACAATAAGCTAAAAAACTATTTTTAACGAGACCGCTAATTTCCTCAATTAGCAAGAAAAAAAAGGTAAAAATACCTTGGACATGTCGAAGCTCAGTTTCGACATTGCCAAGCTCCTGTATTATCTCTTCGGTTTCCATGTTTTTCGTTAACTATGGTTGCTTCTGCGCGAAAGAATATTTTTGCAGGCTGAATGCGTTTGTAGAGTTCTATGCATCGCAGCGCTGTTTGCTCCAGCGACGTGGCAAGTAATAAGGTTTTTTACTGGTTGGTTGATTGGATTTTCTCCGCTCGCCCATTTGTTGGGATGTGCAAAACATCCGACCCAAAGGGGATTCGGTTTCATCGGCTTAGTTGGATTGAACTAAAATTTTTCGTGGTTCAGCCTGGCTGGTTCTGTGGAAATTAATCGGTCAAGACTAAAATCTATTCGAAATAATAAAAACTGATCAAAACCGACCAAACCAATTGACTTGGCTCAAATCGATTCGATACAGATATCAATTTTAATTCAATTTAGTTTCCGTCAAAAAAGTTCATTTTATATTTTTACTCTTTGTTCTGTTTGGTTCAAATCCAACTGACCATTTGCTGATCCCTACCCATTGGCCCAATTCACCATTTATTCTACATAAAAAAACCTTGCGATGTTGTAGTAGATGCCAGATTTTGAAATTTTGGTTAAAAAATGACACTTTGATTTAAATTATTAAAATAACTAATCTTTTTTATGACATGTCTTGCATATGCTCATTATATATTTGTATTTTTTAATTTTTTTATTTATATCATATTAAAGCATAAAAAATATAATTACTTAATTCATATCGGACTTTGTTGTACAAACTACTAGTAATTTTACTTCTTATTTACTTAATTCTATTTTTTTTTATAATAAAGTGGTCTCAAAATAAAATTCAACCCAATCTCTAAACCTAATCTTTTAGTACTACCTAATTTATAAATGCAGATTATTAAAACCTTAATAAGTGTCCAAAAAGAAAATCAAATCATCACTCAATCTCTAACCCCATATCAATATCTATATACAGTTATAACGAAAAAAAAAAATAAAAAATTATTTTTTACTGCTGGGTAAAAAAAAAAAAAAGAAATGAGCAGAAGATTTGAATTGATAATGGTAATTATTTTGGCTACAGTGACAATGTTACTTACCCATTGTATTAAGGAAAGGAATATATGCACATACACACAAATTATTAGAAGCCCAAAAAGTGACGCAAAATAAAAATTTATAGTTCTAGTTTTTTTTTTCCAATTTTATAAATACTATTTTCTTTTAAGTCAAACAAATTTATAGTATAATAGAAAAAATATTAAAAGATTAAGAATGTTTATTCATCAAGAGCCATCTATTTATTTCTAGAGAGATATAAATCTCTTGCTAAATTAAAGTGATAGTAGTTACAAATTAATTCAATAATGGAAAAATAAAATAAAAAATTATTATTAAGAATAGAACTCTTTTCGAAACTTAACATATAACAAGAAATAAATTATATTAAAAAAATTATCTATAAATACTATTTTTTCTTTTAAGGTTCAAAAAAGATTCAGTATTTAGATGGTATTCAATCAGAAAAAATATTTTTAACAAGTAATTTAAGAATTGTTTTATTTCAATCATAAGAGCGCGATCTTATTATTTCTACTAGAAGATATAAATCTTCTGTTGCTAAATTAAAGTGATTAGTAGTTACCAAACTTTAACCTTTCATACTAATGCGGAAAAAAATAAAAAATTAAAAAAATTTTATTAATTAAGAATAGAAACTCTATTCGAAGACTAACAAAATATATAACACAACGATTAAATATAAAAATATATATATAAAAAGAATTACCAAATTTTTAAATTTCATAACTAAGTTTCAAATACTCTTCTGTTCTGTATTTTTAATTCCATTTAGTATTACATTCTTCTTGGGTTATTTTATCAAGTCGCATTTGCATTTGATTTTTTTTAATTTGCTTTTCCCTTGTTCTCTCTATCTACCGTTGGTGTTAGCTGTCGAATGCCAGATTTCCGAAATAAAATAAAAAATTATTATTAAGAATAGAACTCTTTTCGAAACTTAACATATAACAAGAAATAAATTATATTAAAAAAATTACCAATTTAAATTTCAAAAATCAATCTCTTCTTTCTGTATTTAATTCCATTTAGATTACATTCTTCTTGGGTTATTTTACAATCGATTTGATTTGATTTTTTTAATTTTGCTTTTCTTGTCTTCTTCTCCGTTGGTGTTAGCTGCGATGCCAGATTTCTGTAAGTTTCAGGTGAATTATTTTGTTTGCATCCACCATTGAATTGAAAAACCTCTTTATGTAAATACATTTAGATATAATGTATTTACCGTTGAATTGAAGAACTTAGTTTTTCAGTTTATTTTTTTTTTCTAATTTTTCGTTTTACGTCTTTTTATTTTGTTTTTCATTTTTCAATTATAGTTTTTTATTTTTAGTTTTGTTACTTTATTACTTCGTTCTTCATTTTGTTGTTATGTTTTCTATTTGATTTTATTTTTCTTTTATGAATGAGATGTTTTCTATTTGGTTTTATTTTTCTTTATTGAAGGATACTTGACATTGTTTGTTGTTTGTGGGCAGAAGGGTGCGACATGGATTCGTTAATGTTAGGTTAGAAATTATTGATTTATTTTTTTTTTATCAAAAATAACATTCTCTCTATTTCTAATCTTTTTTGACATTTTGTTTAGTTTGAAACTTCATTTTTAATATTTATTAATGCTAACCTATAAAAATACTCTCAACTTTTTGACTATTATAAATCATTTAAAATGACTTTTGTAATCCGAATACTCTAATTTTGAAACTTAGATATATTAGCGTCCAAAACGATAAAATAATATATAATGGGACCTACAGTATAATATTAGTTAACTTAACTAAAAACTTAAACGCGTCGTTTTAATTACCACCATGTACCTAGTATTTTCCTCCCTCAACTTCTTCTATTTCCCTCTTTCTCCACTGTTGATAGATACCCATCTCTCATCCATAACGCTTCTTCCGCTTTTGCTTTTTTTATTCTTTTGAAGCTTTATTCCAGATTTTGTCTCCTTCTTCCCCCTGTGTCTTGTATATTGCATCTGGAAAATGTCAATATTTGCACTTTGAACATGATTGTTTATTTGAATTCTCTTCAGTGGGCTGTAGAAGATTGAAATTTTTTTTACTGGTGGAAAAATGAAAAGGTTGAATGGAGATAGAATGATGCATGGCTTTTGCATTTGATGTTTCATAACTATTTATTTATAATTAATAATTACATGTTATTGCTGGTCGTTCTTTTCTTTTTTTGTAAAAAAAAGGGAAACGTCATTTTTTGCTCAGTATATTGCTGAGAAAATAAAATTTTTTGGCGGTATTAATTATTTAACTCCAAGAGAGACTGCTATGAAAGAGAGAGGTTGCTATTAAGAGAAATTTCCTCTCAAAACGGTGCATTTTGCACATCTTGTGTGTTTAGATTAAGTTAACCCAATGTGGCAAGATGGAGCCCATAAAAATAAATTTTTTTATTATTTTTCCTAACACTAATTTTATATTGAGGTGCTAATATATATATGTTTGAAAATGAGGGTGCCCAAGGCATAAATGTCATTTTAGAGTGATTTATAACAAGTCGAAAAGTTGAAAGTATTTTTATAGATTAGTTATTAAGATGCCTCAAAAATCTTATAGCATTCTCAACTTTTACTTTGATATTTTAAATACTTTAATTTATAAAAATTAGGCTTAATTTTACTCGCCATACTCGAACTATATCCCATATGTCTTAATTGGCATAAACTTCAATTAGTCATTTACAAATACAATAACTTCTATTAGAGTAATATAAAAGTCTTTTTACTGATTTTCAATCAACTACCAGTGAAAAGCTGACGTTTAATAACCTTTTTGATAAATTATTTATTTTAAAAAAATAACATTTTTGATAAATTATTTGTTTTTTAAAAAATACAACATTAGATCTAATGTCATCGCTTGTAATTCCACCCACAAACTACACCCATGACGCAATCTCTCCACTATCAGCAATGAAAATCCAGATGATGTTATCAAACACAAAATAATGATACTAATAATAATGACATATTTTCATCTATTGTTCCTAATTTGTTGTCTCTAATCCATTGTTGTTGATATGAATATATTTTTAACAAAATAATGAAAAGAATTCCACTAAATTTGAAGCAAAGATAAAAATTTTATTGTTCAAAAGATGTACATGAGAATAATAATAAAAAAAAAAGCTCTATAGTTTATTTTTTCCATGGTCTTTACCCAACTTCTCTTTATCTTCTTCTATCCTCTTTTTCACAATTCTTGGAGTGTTTAGGCGAAACCATAGATTTAGAGATTTATTGATAATGATGCCATTGGTTTTTGAAGCCATTAATAGGTTTTTTTAGATGAAGAACTTTTCAGATTGAAGAAGTTGAGGAAAGAGTGTTATTTTTTTTACTCAAAACCAATGAGTTTCTCAAATCTCCATCGTGTTGAGAAGAATAACAATGAATATTGTGGTTGATTTTTGGATTTGAACCTTTTGAGATTGAAGAAGTTGAGGATAGTGTGGTTTTCAAAACTAAGACCAAGTTTTTCAGATCTCCATCGTAGAGAGAAGAATAACGGTGAATACTATGGTTGAGACTAATGCCATTGGTAAATAATGGATAGGTAACATTGTATTTACTGACAAAGTATTCTTTTATAGATTTAGAGATTATAATGCAAAGGTTAAGAGAGAAGGTTAGTGATGGACATGCAAAAGGCAAAGAGGGGAGTTAGTGGGAGAGATACGGCATGAGAGAAAAAATCTGATATGATTTTTTTCATTTATTTTGTTAAAAGTATTTTCATGTCAGCAAATTATCGATACTTGATTAGATAACTAGTAATGACACTTTTTTGTTACTCGAATAATAATTAAGGATTTTTTAAGCAACTAATTGAAATTTAGAGACAATAAAGTAATAGTATATATAGTTAAATAAGCCCAGTAATAATAATAAACACTAGATGCCATTTACAGAGGATAACTAAGACTAACCACATGCCTGTGAGTTAAAGCAAATTAATCAAAGGAAAATAATAACATTGGTCCCTAAGTTACAGTCAAATTAACATATAAGAACCTCTATTTTCAAAAAATAACTATGAGTCCCTGGTCCTTAAATATGATTTTATTGATACTTTAATTGTTTCATTCAAAATAGAGAAACAAAAGTATTAACGGAAATCATAAGGGAATGAGTAAAGTGTTAATGGAATCATAAGTTAGGGACCTTGTTGTTAGTTTCACTATTATTTAGGGATCAATTTCTTAGTCAATTGCTAATTAAAAGTCGCTACTTTGGACACAAGGATGAAGGAACGAGATCACTTGCTAATAAACAAAAGTTACATTGGTCCCTTCTCTTTCCTTTCTCTAAATCGGAGTCAAAGTGATAGAGATGAAATGATGTAGCTTA